TTGTAATAAAATACTCTATAATTTTAATTTTATACAGAATTTCCCTAAAACGGACCGTATTCGAGATATTTGAGAAAATGTGTAAATTTTGAAGAAAATTAAAAAACGGATAAAGAAAAAAACATTAAACTTTAAACTTAAGTTTTATTTCGGCCTGACGTGAAATGATTAGATTTTGGATAAAGTCGGAACATCTGGGGGGTACTTTATGGAAGGCCGTTTCTATATTTTATGAAATATGTCTGTTATTTATGTTTGGAGAAAAAAATTGTTTAAATAAAAGTTACTTCTAATATTATTATCTATAATTTTTGCTTTATGTCAAAATTTCCTGAAATGATCCATATTCGAGAAATTTGACAAAATGTGCAAAATTCTCATTTTTATGAAAATTGTTGAACTAAAAGTTATTTGCGATATCGATCTTTATAATTTTTGTTTATATATGATTTTTTAAAATGGACCGTAATGGAAAAATTGGAGGAAGAGTGCTAAATTTAAATTTTTCAGTATTTTCGTTTTCAATGAATATCTATAGAAAAATATTTCGAGGTAGATGTAGTGGAAAATGTATATATTTAGTTTATCCTCTAAATATTTATAAAGGTGCTGCAATAGGTTGTACAAAATAACCGAAAAAGCCTATAAAAACTAGATAGGAAAGTCATGTGTTGGACTTATCAGATTTTTTTAAAAAGTGCAGACCTAAAATGTGGCCAATACGCAACTTTAAGTCATAGGATTTAGGTATGGCTATGATGGAGACTATTGTTCAAGAAGTCGACAATTTTAAAATCTAAAAAATTCAAGAAATTTTACCCCAGCCTACTTCTGCATAAGCCGGCTGCTTGTTTGAACTGGTTTCAAATAAAAAAAAACATAAATGGATGCGTTTCTTAAATCATACTTGGCTCAATTAAAATTAGTTAACCGTTCAGAACCAGATTGCATATGTTATTATGTTTTTAAATAAATTTTGCTTAATTGAATCAACAATTTCTTAATTTTTATATTTTAGGTACATACATGCAATTATACGAATTTTGTAATAAATTCAAAGTATATCAAGGTTTAGAGTTTAATTTAAATCCAGAACAATGTGAATACATATCTGATAACTAGAATAATTATTACATTTTATTATAGGTACATATCCTTGTTTGGCATGTCATACAACTAACGTTTTGGTTATGTCACTAAGTTTCTAATTTCAGAGTATCAATGTCTTCTGAAATTTCATCTCGTAATATACAGTTATGTTCTGGTTATTATCAATTTTAATTTAAACATTAATAAATAAGTACCAATTCTTGGCTCAAATCGTGGGTGAAACATAAGTATTTTTTAAAAAGGGTTTCAATATGGTTTATCTTACACCACCAAAAATTATTCTTATGACATAAAATTTTGAAAAAAAATTACCCAACATACCCATCACAGAAATTATTGATTGACAAATTTTAAAAAATCTGGTAAGTTGTGTAACGGATAAAGGAAAAAACATTAAATTTTAAACATAAGTTTTATTTTGGCCTGAGGTGAAATAATTAGATTTTGGACGAAGGCGGAACATTTGGAGGGGTACTTATTGGGAGACCGTTTTTATATTTTATGGAATATATCTGTTATTGATGTTTGGAGAAAAAAATTGTTTAAATAAAAATTACTTACAATATTATTATCTATAATTTTGGTTTCATACAAAATTCAAATTTTTAGGAAAATTGTTTAAATAAAAGTTATTTGTGATATCGATCTCTAAAATTTTTGTTTTTTATGATTTTTCTAAAATGGACCGTATTGGAAAAATTGAAGGAAAAGTGCTAAATTTAAATTTTTGGAAGACGCTCCTTTCGAAATTTTGTTACTACAAGAACTACAGATCAAATCAATACAGAATATCTCCCTTCAAGGCTATTATTCGTTGATTAAAAAACGAAATGATGGTTTTGGGGGAGTAGGTATTTTCATTAAAAATTCACAAAATTTTAGAAAAATTAAAATTAACTATAATTTTAAAAATAAAATAGAAATTTGTACAGTCGAAATTTTTAAATTAAATATTTTCTTAATATCAATTTATAAACCACCTAATATTAACACTATAAATACAAATTATTGGATAAATATTTTCTCTCAAATGGTACTGGATGTGCTTTTTACATTTCGAACAAACGTTACTTATTCAAAATGCACTTACATAGCACACCTTCAATATACACAGCAGAGATGTATGCAATATGGTAATTTCTCATATTATACATTAAGATAATAACTTCGTAACAGTGTCATAATAACTAATTCAAAATCAGCACTAGAAACTATCGAAACAAAAAATGTTTCTAAACACTTTATAAATTTACTTTTTTGGAACATTAAAAATTGTTTTTATTTGTAAAATGAATCACATGTCAAAATAACACTTATTTGGGCAAAGGGACATGCTGGTGTAAAAGGGAATTAAATTGCTGATTAAATGATTAAATGTTATGGAGAAGAGGGTTCTAGAATTTCATAGTACCACAGACTTCATACCGTTGCTAAAGCAAGAAATAAAAAACCATTGAAAATACATCTGGCAAGAATATATAAATAAATCAACCAATCCTTATACCCTCATTCATCCACATCTTTTAAACAAAATACCACACACCTAAGAATATACAGTTAACAGATCCTACAGCGTAACCATAACTCGATTAAAACTTAATGACAGTAGATTTCCAGCCCCTTTAGCCAAAATTGGAATAAATCAGACTTCCAAATGTTCTTGTGATAACTCCACTGTAGCTGATCTCAACCACTTAATATTTTCATGTTAAAATCACACTAATAAAATAAATAAATTTATAGAAATAATTACTAAAAATAAGATTCTCTTACCTACAAATTTTACTCATCTATTAGCTTCAAATATTAAAAATATATTTTAAGGATTAGTACAATTATTTGAGAAGGCCAACATCAAAATATAAAAAATATTTGTTCCTTAAATAATTTCTGTGTCTGAGGACCATGCTTTCTGATGCTAAAAACTCACTCACACACACATGGTAAATGTTATATCATCTGCCTAAAATATTCTTCAAAAACATCAGGGTTCATATCTTCATGGTAGTCTTCGGTTTTTTTAGATTGAAATAAAAAAGAATAACGTTTTAAAAACTCTTCATCACTTCCAATATGAGTTATAATAAGACTTTGTCCTTTACCGGAAGGAACCTTCAATCCTGTAGATAATCCTTTTAAAAAAGCCTGTCGTGAACAGTGTTACTTTCATTCACCTACGTTTTGTCTAAATATAATATTTTTTTGCCTTCTAAACGTATTTTAAAAATAGTTCTGAGGTATCTCCGCCTCCTACAATTTCCTTAGAATCAAATGCTACCCCTCCTGTCTTGTTTATTCCATTTGAACTTTAAATCTATTAGAGTTTTCCGTAGTTATGTCTTTTCCATTTAAGGAAAATACGGATCACTATTGATTGCTTCCAAAACCTTGGCAAGTGTTGGTATCTCTTTTTAAAAATAAAATTCGTTAACTTTTTTTCTTATTTCGCTTTTAATTTGTTCAGTATGTTCCACTTTTTTCTTACCTCCTGCATTTTTCTTTGGGGATTTAACAACTCCACTTTTTAATTCAGTATCTTCAATAGAAAACGAAAGATTTTCCATTCTTAGGTAATTATAAACATTGCTTAAAATTATTTTCTCGTTAACTGACAACGCACACTTTTTCATAGGTTTCACAGGTGTAAACTTTGAACTTGAACTACACTGCTTCTTGCAATACTACTGTCACTATTAACTGAAAATAACCACAGCTTCTTAATATAATAGATAATATAGAAGACTAATCAAACAGGGTAGGTAATATTGGAAACTGATCAAGATAGTAACTGCAACTGCCTATCTAATTTTCATACCAAATCCTAGGTAGGTAACTATCTTATAATCGCACCCTCTTGTTATCATTTTGGTTTTTCCATGGCATTAGTAATCTCCAAGAAGATGATAAAAATATTGTATAGGTTAAGTCAACAAACTCAATTCGTGTATCTGGCTATGTGAGTACATACTCGAAGGCCAATAAAAAAAAATAAAAAAAAATGATAAAATAGCAAAAAACCCTTAGATTATAGATTTCCATAATACAATTAGAGCCGCATTTATAGATTTTAAACCCTCAGATTACTTTTTATAATCTAAGCTAAAACCTTTCTCTCTACTTGTCATCAACTTTCACCTTGACATCAAAAATTTCCAAGAAGTCAATGATGAATAATGATTTAAACAATTTAATGTAGGTTTACCTAATAGTCAAATTTATAGGTCTTGAAAAATATTTGTTATATACCTTGTTGTTAACTTACTCAAACAGATAACTCTACTATTTACATTACAATTGCAAATAACTCAAAAAAAACATTTTGTAAAGTACCTACATATGAAAACAATACTCAATAAGACATATTTAAAAAAATATATGTTTTTAAATAAATATAGGTACCCACACCTGAAATTTCCTGATCTAACAGATATATTACTCCGTGTCGATTGCGATTGCTATAGAAAAATAGCCTCAGATGTAAAAAATGGAGGTTTCAATAAAAATAGTTTCTTTTCCCAAGTTAGCAATGTCACCATAAAATTTTAAATTAGCTACAAAACAACTTTTAATAAATTATTTTTAAAGTTTTTCGATATTTAAAAAATTACATTTATTATTACTTATATTTGAACCACCCTGTATGTAATTGAGATACCATAGAAAAGTTGCAGCTATAAATAAACAAATAATTCACAAAAACAGAAATGCATGGAAAAAATTCTTTCTAATAAAAAATAGAAGCAAAAATTTGAATATTGATTTGTATCAGTCAACAACGTATAAATTAGTTATTGTTTTTTAACAACTTTATCTTCTTAGTGAAATCATTATTATTTTTAAAGATCCTATTTTCCTAACTTTATTTCTTAGAGACGCAATTTAATAGTAATTGAAAATGTTATTCATATATATTATTCTCATTTTATCTATATTTAATGATTTGTTTTCGATAACGTAAAGTTTTTTAGATTATTGTAATATTATATGATATCCACTACAAGCAATAATAAAAGGGCAGTAACTAAATTAAGTCATAAATTAAAAATCAGAACGAGTAATTTTCAACAAGAGGTATTCGGCCTTGTGAAAGGCACATATCGAACCCAACCTTGCTTCAAGGTCCGTAACTAAAATTAAAGCAGGAAAGAAAGAATTCGTTGTCGAAATATGTGTTTACCGACGTCATGATCTGATTTTTTTACATGTAGGATATTCATATAAAAGGAGTAAAAATCTTGAAAGTGTATCAGTTTTTGTCAGTCAGTTTTAATACTCGCAACACAGACCTATTTTTCAAAATGTTCAAATTGGTGGTGTTGTCTGCTCTCGTAGCTCTTGCCGTAGCTAAACCAAGCGGTTTGTTAGTAGGTGCTCCTTTGGTAGAAACATATAGTGCTCCACTTGTACACACAGTGCCTGCTGCAGTCAGCCACAGTTACAGACAAGACGTCATCAGCAAACCTCTAGTAGCTACCTACTCCGCTCCAGCTGTAGCTGCCTACTCGGCTCCAGCTGTTGTTGCTCCATATGCCGTTCCTGCTGCTGTCAGCTATAGCCACAGAAGTGATGTCATCAGCAATCCCCTAGTTGGTCACTACAGTGCTCCCCTTTTGGCTTACTCTGCACCTGCCATTCACGCTTGGTAATGAGAGGACTGATCAAGATTGATGCTAATTTTGTACAATGTTTGGTATTTATTAAAAAATTTAAAAAAATTTAAATAAAAGATAATTTTAATAATATTTTATTGTTTCATTAATAATTAATTTTAATTTTTAATTTTTCATAAACAAATAATTCTTGTAGGGTTAAAATTACTTTTTATTGAGATAGCACCACATATGTTTCGCAAAAACCTTCCAACATCTGGTACAGTCACAGTTAAAATAATTAACAACATTAAGGGTGTAACAAATGTATATAAAAAAAATTCTAGACCCAACCTATATTTTTGTTTCTCATAATGTATTATGTATATTTAAAGTATTCTTCTTCTTCTTCTTTAAATTATTTCTCTTCTAACGAATTACACACACATACACTGAGAAACAAACAGATAGATTCTGTCTATAAACAATATTAAAATGTGTGTTACGACAATGTTTTTTTTTAACTGTGACTGCACCAGAAGAAGTTTTTTCGAAACGTATATAGTATTATCTAAATAAAACTATAATTTGATTATGAAAAATGTTACTACCGTCTGGAAATAATTCTCCTTCTTATAATTTTTTAAAGAACATACATTTATTTCCCAATTTCAGATAATAAGTAAGTAAATATTACGATTTAGCTACTAAAAGAAATACTGTAAAATGGGGGTACTTTGACCGCTGCGCCTGGTGTCAGTTTTACCAAAACATAAAAAAAAATTCATTGTGGTTTACTTGATTTACCCTATATATTTTTTAATTGTTGCTAATATTTTAAATTTATGGATACCTGAAAATTAATTTTAAAATAAAAAATAATTAAATTTTATTCAAAAGAGGTTAAATCCAATATATTTATTTATATTGTTCCTTTTGTCATGTGTATCATGGAAAAAATACGGTTAGAAATGGTAGTTTGACCATGTTTTAATAATTTGATCCCAACATTTTGGAAGTGTGGTAAAATATTTAAAAAATTGCCAGAAATAGGTTAAAATTATTATTAAATCTTTCTAACCGCCCATTTTGGAGTCCATTTTGTCCAAAATAATAATAAAATTTTGCCGTCAGACAAATTAAGTTTATTTAACCCCCGTCGCCCCTTCCAAGGGGTTAAAAATGAAAACACTGATTTTTGCGCGGTAAAGATTCAAAAACGTTACGGAATATATTATATTCTGTATCTGATATTTATGCTTACCTATAATCATCTGAAGAGTTCGAAAATAGGTTCAAGAAGGAGTGAAATTTTAAATTCAGATGAAACCGCCAAAAAATTTTTTTTTCATGCTCAATCCATTAACATTTAAAAAGGTTTACTTTTATCAGTGTATATTCACTTTGTCTCAGTGTACAAGGGGTAGAAATTGTATAAAATACTATTTTCATCCCCTAGAATCGCCTAATAAGAGTATTAAATCGTTGCAAGAAACGAATTAAGACTGAGAGTGTATGATACGATAGTTACAGGCGCGTTACACCAGAAGGCAGCAACTAACGAGGCGTTTTAGCCACTAATTTTTGTCGAATTTTAAAAGCTCAAATTTTAGGATTATATTAAGAATAGTGCTATTGATGAATGCATTTATTTTTATTATGATGTTTCTAATTATAAATAACAGAAATATACCTTAAAATAGCAAAATGACTCCCTATAAAGTACCTACCCTTGCCGATCTTTCGATTAAGTCCGAAATCTAATGAGCTTATTCTAGGCTAAAGCTTAAATTTAAAATTTAGTGTTTTCTCTCCATAGGTTTTTGAGTTTTCGAGTATAGGTATATACAGTGTGTCTACTTAAGTTGAAACCATATGAAAATTTTTTTTAATATTGTTGTAATGAAAAAAAATTATTCTTGATAAAAAGTTCTGCATGGTCCAAAACTTGAAAAGCAGATATCAATTTTTTTTGGTTTTAAATCAATGTAAAAAAATTTGTAAAACATATCAAAACCTTCTTTTTCATGATAAATGATGTTTGAATGTACCTTTTAGTTTTGATCAACTGTTCTTTGTAACAAATTTCGATATTGTCAAAAATAAAGGTTTCAGATTATGCAGAACTTTTTATCAAGAATAACTTCTTTGCCTAAAACCAATAATAAAAAAGTTTTCAATATGGTTCCATATTAAGTAGACACACCCGTACAGACAGACAGAATGGGTTCAGGAGACTCTTAAACGTAAAGATCTATTAAAACCTGGAGTTCCAAAATACAGAAAGTCTTTTACTCTTTTGAACATCCCCTGTTGCACACATTTATTGGTCCAATATTGGCTAGTTCATATAGGGCCAAGATATATTTTGTCAGATTGTTTCTATAGAGGCCCATTATTGTAAGCAAATGTTGAGCCAATATTGACACCCTACCTAGGACCAACATCTAAAATTTACCTGGGTCCAAGACTAATAATTTATATACGATCAATATTAAAAAGTTGTCTTATACCAGTATTGGCTGTAAACATGCAGCTATTATTGGGTGAATAATAAAATGCTATTATTATTTATTTATTTTTTACAATTTAAAAACTAAAATCATTTACGAACTGTGAGCATATTAAAGTAAGTTTTACAAGTTTTAAGATGTGACATTACTCCGCTGCGACTATAAATTCTTCTTGGTCATTCGGTTGTGTGCTTGGTGTACCAGTACGAGCTTTCCGTCCTCCCTCTCTGTCTTTTGCACCTACCAAAAATAGTGAAACTGTCTTCTTTATTTCTTTTTCTCTTTTCTTTAAACTGTCGACGATTTGTCGATTTAAAATATTTTCAACAATACACTGTTGTCGCATATATCAAAAAGTAACAGCAACTTCGTTATTTATGAGAAATCCTTTATATTTATATGTTTTTGAATCCTCTAAAGAGTTATAAGCAAGTTTTATGCTATATACTATTTAACTTTTCCCTATTTCAAAATATTGACAGTTGAAATTTTACATTTTTCAACTTTTAAGGGCTGTAGAAGCTAAACGGTTGAACTTAGAGGAAAACGATTTACACATCCGTTTCTTAGTATTCTATGAACTTTGATATGACACTAACTTTAATTTCTACCAGAAGTTTCGGTTTGGGTAAAAATCCGATTTTACCGGTATTTCCGCCTGCACTCAAAATTAGTCTCATATTAAATTTTATGAAACACTAGGATAGGGATGTGCAATCCCTTTAGTTCCTACAGCCCTTCAAAATTGGAAATTTGTGCAACTACCTCGAACATAACCGAGTTAGGGTATGGTATAATATAAAACAATCTTAGAATTTTTTGGAGGATTCAAAAATACGAAAATAAACAGGGTGTTTCATTTAAAATAATGAAGTTGCTTCTACTTTTAGGTAGATGCGGCAGCACTGTAATGTTGAAAATATTTTAAATCGGGAAATCATTTTTGAAAAATTAAAAAACTTCAGGTTAGAGATTTTCCGTAAACGTCTAATAAGCCGTCCATCGTGAATTATCCTGTATGTTAAAAGTTTTTGTCACTTATGGAATTGTAGGGCAGAGCATTCTTTTTAGGTGCATAATTAAATTTTGTACAAATATGCCTGTATCACATCCAAAAATAACTGGAAATAAACAATTATTCCCTAAAGAAGTTATTAGGTACCGAAAGTATAACAACTTTATGATTCAGAGGTTTCAAATTGTAAATATTTTAATGGCATATTGTTGAAAATTTTCTGCGATTTTTTTATTTTTGGTATTATAAGGTTACCCTTGCTTTTAGTTGTTTTAAAATTGACTACAAACATTTAATGGATGATATAGATAACGACCTTAACGTATAAAAAGCATTCGAAATAAAAAAACATTGATACGAAATAAGCGTGTTTTGTCAAAAGCAACCTTTAACCCGATTCTAGGGATTAAAACGGTATTTTGTACAATTTTTACCTCTTGTACACTGAGACAGAGTGAATTTACACTAATAGAAGTAAACGTTTGTGAATGTTAACGGATTGAGCACGAAAAAAAGAAATTGGCGGTTTCATAAGAATTTAAAAAATCACCACTTTTTAACCTTATTATCGAACTTTACAGAGGGTTGTAGATATAAAACATAATATACTCTGTAACGTTTTTAAATCCTTATCATGCAAAAATCAGTATTTTCATTTTTAACCTCTTGGGAGGGGCGTCGGGGGGTTAAATAAACTTTTGTCTGACGGCAACATTTTATTCATATTATTTGGGACAAAATGGACTCCAAAATGGGCGGTTAGAAAGATTTAATAATAATTTTAACCTATTTTTGGCAACTTTTGAAATTTTTTACCACACTTCCGAAATTTTAAAATTAAATTATTAAAAAATGGCAAAACTACCATTTTTGACCGTATTTTTTTCATGATATACATGACAAAAGAATCAATACAAACAAAGTTTGGATTGGTTACATTGAATGTTTTTTTTTTTTATTTTTTAAATAATTCCTGTTAGCGAATCGCCAATGGAATTTGTTTGACAACGATGGTGCTTCCATTATTTAGATACATATACTAATGATAACCATTAACTTCAGGCGATTAACACAAAATTTTTTATTCAATTTTCCCCCCTCTCCCCTAGAAAAAAAATCTTCAAATTTACTATAGAGTTCAAATACCACATGTCAGACGGTTAACATGACTTTTCCTAGACTAAAGCTATAAGAGTATGAAGCCTATTGATTTAAAAAAAATCTGAATAAAAATAGGGGGTTAAGAGGGGTTGAAATATTAAAAAAATCTTAAGTCAACATAGATTTGAAATTATTAACAAAAATAACTCAAAAACGAAAAATAATATCAACTTGAAATTTTTGGCATAAATTATGCCCTATAAAGAGAAAAAGTTCATTAATTAAAAAAAAAAACTAAATTAAAATGGGGTCAAGGGGGAAAAATCAAGGCGGATGAAGCCTATTGATTCTGAAAAAAATCTAATTGAAAATGGGATTAAGGGGCCCTTTTAAAATGTGAAGAGTACAATATATATATAGGGTAGCCCAATTAAAACAGCCGACTTGACATATTTTCCTAGGAGAAATTTTTTGGGAAATTCCTGAGACTGCTCAAATTTGATTTTAAGGGTTACATATTCTGATCTTTAATTTATGGATGTAGATTTGTTCCCCTTGAGGAATACTAAATTTTTTTATATTCTACATGCTTTTCTGACGAATGCACATCCTTTGCTAATGGTAACGTCAACAGGCATAAATGCAAATACTGAAGAGATTATAAGAGAACAGCTTTCAAAGTATCCAGAATAGTTGAATGTATGAGCTGGGATTTTGGGCAATAATATTGTTGATCCCTTTTTTTTACCTGGTAACTTAACGAGCGAGTCTTACCACAATTTGCTTAAAGACTTGATCTACCCAACACTGGATTGGTAGAAGGGGTTGTTACATTGAATGGTCCCCAATATCGCCAGATCTAAATTAGGCAATGACTGACACCTTTAAACTACCATTTAAAAAAGAAAAATGTTTATGTTCCGACTTTCGTGATTTTTTACATGGCAAACTTTAGAAACAATAAGTCAATTTTATAAACGTAAATAGTATAAATTAAATACTCTAAAACTGAATTTAAATAATTTATTTTAAATAATTAATGACAATTAAAATCAGTCCCCTCTTTACCAAGCATGGACAGCAGGTACATGTGCAGAATAAGCCAAAACAGGAGCGTGGTAAGCTGCTACCAAAGGTTTGCTAATGATGTCACTTCTGTGGCTGTAGCTTACAGCAGCGGGAACTGCAACTGGAGCAACAATTTTCTGAATAACCGGGGTTGCAACAACGGCGGGAGCAGCATACGCAGCGACAACAGGTTTGCTAATGACATCTTTTCTGTAAGAATGACTGACAGCAGATGGCACTGCAGCTACCACTGGCACACTGTATGTTTCTACTAATGGAGCACTAGCTACCCAACCGCTTGGTTTAGCTACGGCGATAGCTACGAGAGCAGACAACACCACCAATTTAAACATTTTAAATTAAATAATTAAATAGGTCTGTGTTGTGAGTCTTGAGACTGACTGAAAAAAACTGATATCGAAACAATAATGTTTAGTTGTTTTTATACTGTCTCTAGTACAAACGAATGCATTAACTAGGTTAATCAGATCATGACGTTATCAACAAATGTCTGATTTATGTTTAAAACATTCTTTCCTGTTTGAAGTTTTGGAGTGGACCTTGACTCAAGGTAAATATCTTCAACAAAGCTGTACTGGATTTAATAAATTGCATTGCCTAAGGCGTATATTAGGAGGTATATGGTATTACTAATGATCTTTAACACTGAAAATTGTATGATCACCTACTTGAATCTCAACATTGTTTTGTTATTCTTTACTAAGTATTAATTTAATTTTTAGATCAAATGGAGGAACGACGAACAAAATAGTCAGTTTAATCGAAAATTACGATTAACTTAAATTACAGAAGGTGAAAATAAATCTTTGTAATTGTTATCTATACGATTTTATGCTTTAAAGTACGACCAGTTTATGTAATTAAAAAAATTATTTTCTACAAATCATTTAAAAATTAAAAATCCTAAACTTTTGTAAATTATTTAACGGACCCTGCAGTTTTTATATAGATTTTGGGTACTGTCTGAATTTGTTCTAATAAATGTATGTTATTTTTTAGGTTATTGAAAGCAATTTTATTGCAAACCCCAAATTTGCAGCTCTGCAGGATGATCTGTTAGAAGGAGTCAACGTAAGGAGTGCAGAATTAATATTTTCATATAAATTCCTCACGGTATTAGTTGATACACCTAATTTCATCGTCATTTGTAGGAGACTGTACCTCGGAAACGAATTAACTGATTTTCAAGAATAAAGAAAATGCTGAAATTTCATTATTTGTATTAATGGCTTGATGTCATCTTCAGTAAAAAATTACTTTTCAGTGTTATACAGGGTGTGAAAGCCTATAATGTAAAAACGTAAACTTCTGTTTCACCTGTTGTAATAGTAATCACAATAAGGATTTTTGGTTGATATCTCAAAGCATATTTGGCAGTTTTGTATTTTATTGTTTAGAAAAATGTTCGAATTTTTGAAAATTAAAATTTCAAAAATAAAATAAATAAAACTCAAAGCCATATATTACACAACTTCGGAAAACAACTGCTCCTTTTGCTACTACTGCAACAGGTATTGAATTATATGCAAAGGAAACCAATAGAAAAAGAAATTTAAATTCAACACATTGAACCATTGAAGAACTAATAAATTACATAAATAACTCGTTCACTTTAATTTATTTAGAATTTGTGAGTTATGAATTGGAATTAATCAATGATTGTAATTTGCCTGTCATAGGTCCACAAAAAAAAAAGTGGTCTGTGCTTATTATTAAAAAAAAACAAAGATTAAATAAATTGTGGCACAATCGAACCAAAAGTATAAATATAAATTTTTATGCACGTAAATTTACATTTTATTATTACATAGAAAGATTATCTTGACTAAATATTTTCTGACATCAAGAGACATTTGAACTTTTTATTAAATATAATTGTCGAGAGATATTTTAGATTAGGAGGAACCAGGTTATATAGTTTAATATCATATAAGAGAATGAACCTTGAAATTTGGAGGTACGATGGTGAGGTTGAGATATATGCCCTCTTAACTTTGTATGTAATTTTTTTATAGAGATAAGGAGGTGACTTTAATAAAATGATCTTGTAATACAACGTTACCATGCGTAGTTTCCTTCTAGATTCCATATTTAACCAGTTATGTTATGTTGAGAATGGGGTGTTAATACACTGTAACCAAAAAGATCTTTTGTGCCCCCTTCTGTCACCACTGCACTAAGGAAATGTCTCAATGCCTATAACGACCCTTCCAATCCTATTTTGTCAAGGAAGTATAAGATTTGAAGTGGCTTCAAGTTAGATAAATCTCCCTCTTCTATTTGATATCCTCCTAGATATAGTGCCCTTGGATTCTGAAGTGCTACACATTCAGTTAGGATGTGAATGGAGGTTTTGTCCTCCTCCTCACAGAATCTCCAATCAGTTAGTTTCAATTATTTTGTAACTAATTCTTTCGTATTTTTTTATACCCTATATGTAGCGAAGACAAGAATTTTGGACTCTTTGAATACGATTAATATCCACACAGTCAATACAAGGCCCGTAGATGACATAGTAGTAATTAAAATGACTGAGAACCATTGTATTACAAAGTAGTATTTTTATACTTTGATCTAAAACATGGCAATGCGGGTAAAGCATTTTTAAATTTGCGTTAGCTCTTTTATACAATTATTTACATGGCTTCTAAATTTTAAGTCAGTGTCAAGTTGAAGTCCCAGATTTTTGGCAACATCTACACAAGCCACCAAAGCACCATCAATACTCACAGATAATTGCTCTGTTTAGTTCTTTTTTATTTTTACCAAATACCAGTATTTGTGTTTTTGTGGGATTAATAGTTAGCTGATGTCGGCTAGAAAAATTTACAATTTTAATTAATTCTGTGTTAATCATTTCATTAGTGACAGTAACATTCAAATTAGACAAAGAAAACCTTATTTGCTTATCATCTGCATATATATAAACTCTGCCATTGCTAAGAGCCGAACTAATATTGTTTGAGTAAATGCAAAACAAAATTGGTCCCAAAATAGAGCCCTGTGGCACGCCGCAAGCAATATTTTTAATATCAGATCTACCGGCACTTGTTTCTATAAACTGAGATCGATTAGAAAGATAGTTTTTGATAGTCTTTTGCTTTAATCGAAAAACCAATATAATGAAGAATACTGAACAGAAGCTGGTGATTAAGTGTATCAAAGGCTTTTGTATTAAAACGTTTGTATTTCCTTTGTTGATATCCCTAAAAATATCATCAGTAACCTCTAATAAGTGATTGTTAATGTCATTAGGAATCCAAAATTAGGAATTACATTTTCGATTAAAATGCATGATAATACTCTCAAGATAGTCAACACTGCAGACTGTTTAATTTTTCAATAGTTTTAAATTTTTGAAAAACGTAAATTTATAAACTTGCTTTAAACTCTCTTTGAATCTGTTACTAAAAAGTTAAGTATCTAGCTATTTTCTCAAGTTCTTGTTGTTGCATATTTGTGTTTAATTATTCAGTGTTCTTGAGACACTCGAAACGTACGTTTTACTTACTAAGAGCTCTACAGAACCGCATAAGTTGACTTGTTAGAGAAAAGTTAGAAAGTGTACCTATATAAATTTTTCATTAAAAGAAGCAAAAGCATCAGGAAAGAATTCCATAGAAATGAATTCTATTGTGAAAACGTTACATATATAGTTTTTCATGTAAGCGAAAATAAATCACTGCATGAAACTGTTTTGGATGTCTGAATAAAGACGAACAAATTTATTTGTTTCTTTTTAACAGCAAAGTTCCGTCTATTAAATATTAAAAAGTTATTGTTAGTTGATCTGGCGAATAGGAAATACAGTTAGAAAGTGGATTTTTACAGTGCATAATAAATAATTTGAAAACGAAATAGTCAAGAAATATAGGTCAAAATATTATCTGTCTTGAAATTAAAAGAGACGTGACTTCTTCTCCGACTGTAGGAAATAAAGTTATTATTAATAATGCATATTTGTTTATATTTTTATATATCCAGAAACAAAATCACTCTGTACAATATAAAAATTTAAAGCTGATTAATTAATTGTATAAAAAAGTCATAACGTAATATACTTATAAAATATCGATTTATCTTTAATTACTTCTCCATCGTTACCCTTAATCAATATTTTTTCGACCGTGACGATGTTAAAAATATTTAATTTAACCCATTTGTTTTCAACTACTTCACGAACAAAATGAAGTCTAACATCAATATGCTTTATTCGATTGTAAAAAATAGGTGTCTGTGATAATTTTAAAGCACTTTGAATATTGCAATAAAGAAGAAGAATCTGCTGGTCACTGCTAAGTAACTCTTTAACCAAACCTCTTAAGTGGGTTGCTTCCTTGCAGGATTCACTTAAGGCCATGTATTCTACCTCAGTTGACGAAAGAGGGACCGTAATCGGTTTCTTGCTTTCCCAAGATATTGGTCCATTTCCTAATTTAAAAACCAATCCTGTATAAGAGTGGCGATCTGTTTTTTGGTTGGCCCAATCAGCATCTACAAAACCAGTGACTCTTTTGTCAGTTGTTGGTTCATACATCAAACAATGGTTTAATGTCCCTTTCAAATAACGCAGAACTGTTTTTGCACATTTCCAGTGCTTCTCTTTGAAGCATAAGTTAAATTGACTTAAAACGCTACAAATGTGTGATATGTCCGGACAACAACTCATAGAAATGTACAATAGAGAGCTTAATAAATTTTGATAAGGTACGTTAACTATATTTCCAGACATTCCATTTTTAAATTTTAAATTCGCTTTCATGGGTGTAGCAAATGGATGTGACTTTTGCATGGAAAACTTCTATAAAACTTCTTTGATATAGTTTTCCTTATCGATTATAATTCTGTCTCCATCATATCTTACTCTCATCTCTACTATATCTTTAGTGATTCCTAAGTCTGTATTCTTGAACTGTGACTACAACTATCATGCAAATTAGACTTTTCTGCTTCACTATTTGTTAATACTAAAAAATCATCCACGACAATGACTAATATATCTTTGCCTATTCTAAAATATAAGCAAAGTTCATGTTTATATCCTACATATCATATATTTGCTGAAACTCCTATAACCTTTCTGTTCTAAGCTTTTGATGGCTGCTTTAAATGGTAAAATTTTAAGCGAAATTCAGCACCAAAGGCAAACAAAAAACATACTGTCGACCTTCTTATCACAGGCGAAAAAGTCTCGAAGTAATCTATACCATAAATTTGTAGTAAAACCTTTTGCCACTAGTTGAGCCTTATATTTGGATTTTCCGGGTACATCAGTTTTCAGTTTAAATGCCCATTTACATTTGATGGCTCGTTTACCTTGAGGTAGATCGACTAGTGTCCATGTTTTATTGTCAAGAAGGCTTTGATATTCTTCTTTTATAGCAATTTTCCATTTATCCCAATCTGTTCTTGTCTTAGAATTTACTTAACTGTTTGATTCATTAGGCTCAACATCAAAATCATCAGCTTTCGTGTAATAAGTTACATAATCATCGAATCTTCTCTTATGTCTTTCTCTTACTAGATATATTTTTTTTAACTACTGTAATAATTTCTAACTCCCCTCACAAGTTCAGGAGTGTTTTTTACTATTTAAATGGGTATACTAGGTACATTATGAGTAATAATCGGTATATCACTTTTTTCTCGGGTTAAAACCCTAACTCATTTTCTAAAAACACGTCTGTGGCTCTTGTGATTTTATGTAGGTTAGCATAATCATGAAATCTATACCCTGATTCTTCGTAACAAACTGTTTCATGACGTTTGTGATTGCAAAGCTGTATCGTAGAAGATGCTGGACTTATCAAAAAGGAAAGCATTCCTCAGACTTATAATTTTTGATTAATACATATATTTTAATAAGATTGTACTTATACTGTCTTTCCTGTTTCATAGATAAAATTCTTTACAAAATGAGGGGCAGTGTTGTATCCTGGAATATGTTGCAGTTATCTAGCTACTTCATACATAATACAGTTTTCATATTCAACACATTTTTTAAATATTGGATTTATTAAATTAATTTTTTGATTATGCTTGTTTTTTTTTACCTAAATGAATAATAATTATATATAAAAGTACCCAATGCAAAATAAGAATATTATTTATCAACAAAAATGTTAATTGATCACAGAACTAATTTTAAACATAATCGCAGGTCAAATTCTTGTACATTTCAAGGTCCCATATTATAACAAATCAAACATGAAATATTACTTCCTGACTTCATATACCGAATCTCGCTCCTTAAATTTTATGTATAAATACCCTAGAGCTTTTTGATACAGCATCAGTTTTGTTAGTCAGGTTTCTTAACTCGCAACACAGACCTATTTTTCAAAAATGTTTAAATTGGTGGTGTTGTTTGCTTTCGTAGCTATTACTGTAGCTAAACCAAGTGGATTTTTAGTTGGCAGCCCAGTAGTTGAGGCCTACAGTGCTCCAGTTGTTGCTGTACCAGCAGCTGTCAGCAGCACCTACAGAAAGGATGTCATCAGCAAACCTGCAGTCGTCGCTTATTCCGCTCCAGCAATTGTTGAACATCCTGTGGTTCACGAAGTAGCTGTTGCTCCAGTTGTTACCGTACCTGCAGCTGTCAGCAGCGCCTACAGAAAAGATGTCATCAGCAAACCTGCAGTCGTCGCTTACTCCGCTCCAGCAATTGTTGAAACTCCAGTGGTTCATAATGTAGCTGTCGATCCAGTTGTTGCCGTACCTGCAGCTGTAAGCAGCACCTACAGAAAAGATGTCATCAGCAAACATGCAGTCGTCGCTCACTCGGCTCCAGCAATTATTGAAACTCCAGTGGTTCATAATGTAGCTGTTGCTCCAGTACAAATTTCCTCTGCCGCTACACACAGTTTCAGAAGTGACATCATCAATGAACCTGTCGTATACGCCCATGCTAGCCCAGCTGTAGTTGCCCATCATGCTCCTGCTGTAGTTGCTCATACTGCTCCAATCCATTATGCTGCAGCTTCTATTCACCCTTGGTGAAGAAAGGACTGATATAACTGATGTATATTTTTTGTAATGTAATAATATTTATTTGAAAATTTTTAATAAAAATATTAAAAACCTATTTTTTTCTTCTTTAAAAATTCCAACAAAGAATTTTTTAATTTTTGTTATAATCTAAATTTAAATTTCAAACAGAAATAATGGATTAAAGAAAAATTACGAATTTAGGAGGCTTGTTTTTTAAAGTGTTTATGGGGTTGGGGTTAGGGTAATTTGATAATAATTTTTTTAAATAAACATATAAAGAAACATAAAAGAAAAAATTACACTCAACCTATTCTTTTTCAGTAAAAGTTTAAAAAAGAATTTCTTCTAATTCTGATAATTCTTCTAATTTTGATCTTCCAACTGTTTTTGTCTATAAATTTTTTAATATGTGAATTTTAACATTTTATCTGTAGGTTTGAAACTTACACATCATGTATTATCCAAAGAATCCTGCACTTTATCTAAAGTAGTGAGCGGTCAAATTATCTAAATCTTTAATTCTATGACTAGTTTTCGATGACTAGTTAAAGTTAAAAATTGCCTAGTTTTTCGGAATTTTTATTTTCAAACTTACGAGATAGATTAAATTTTTGTTGCATACACACGTTTGGTATATATTTTAATAATACATCAGTATATACGTACAGTTAAAAATATTTTTAGCTACAAGGTGATTCACAAATATATGACGGAAGTCTTGCAAAATCTAACTAATTTTACTGTGACGTCAGGAAAGTGAAATTTAAAAGAAACACTACGCAGTATGGTATATTTCGAAAGGTAATGGGGTCTATTCTGTAACAATTCCACTATATTAAACGGCCTTTAAAAATATTTTCTTCTTTACTTCTGTCATTATTTAAACGGATCTTTAAAATACATTAGAGGACTATCTTAAATAAATCTGTTTAAATAATGACAGAAGTAAATTAACGAATACAAATATACTTTTAAAGGCCGCCAATATTTTTAAAGGCCCTTAAATATAAAGGAATTGTTACAGAATAGACCCCAATACCAGTTAAATACGTGTACCTCTTAGCTTTAAAATATTCAAGGTGATTTATTTGTTAGAATATATTTTATTTTAAGAAAAGTATAAAAACCACATTTTTATTATGATGGCATTTGTACGATGCTACAAAGAGATATTTATCTGCAACTGGTACTAATCATAGTTTTTATATAAATGTTTTTATTAAATTTACTTCTTTAACTATTATTAAAGAAAATAATGTATATACATAGTGAGCCATTAGTGCGTGTGTGGAAGATTGCAGGTTTATTAAGGTACATTTTTAAAATTAATTTTTGGGTCATGGTGTAGGACCTCTAAGGCTACAACCTAAAAATATTTTAGATGAAATTCCAATTGTTCTACAGGGTGATTTATATCAAAGTTATGTTTTTGTAATGCATATTTGGATTCCTTGGTCAATGTTAGTGTGACTTTATGTATAACACATGGTACCTATCTAAAATGAGTAATTAAGCAGCAATTCATTCTTTTTCAAAATGTAAAAGTCTAGTAAAAATTGAAAATCGCAGTTATTATAAAACTTAGAAGGCCTTGACTCTACAGCGTTACTAAGCATGAAATACACTAACATTTGCCAGACGATCAAAGTCAAACCCTTTTCGTGTTTGCAAAATTTCAGTCCAAATCAATGGGACTATCAAATGTTTTTTATTTCATTACATGTAGAATTCGATTACCTTTCTAATGATATAAAAATATGTTGACATTTATCTTTTACAGATTTCTTTTTATTTAAAAAAATCTAATAATTCTGTGAAAATAAAGTAAATCTGTCACTTTTTGTGACATTGGAAATTAGTTATTAAAACTCTTTCTAGTTTTGCTCAAGTCGTTCTAAATTTAAGTGATAATAATGGCACATATTTCCCAAAATGAATGAATTAATATGATTTTCATTCTCGGAGAATGTTCTAGAAATCCGTTTTTAGCAAGTCGTGTTCATTAAGAAAGATATCCTAAACGAGAACGTCATCCAAGAGAAGAATCATTGCAACAGGAAATGTTTCTTATATCCAAAAGCAAGAAAAAACTAAATTTGTTGTAAATGAAGAAAATAAAATTAATATTTTAACTGCAGTGGTAGGAAACCCTCATTCTAGTACTCGCCAACTTGAAAGAGACTTTCAAATAAGCCGAACCTCTATCAGAAGAATAATAAGTAAAAATAAATTCAATCCTTATCATATTCAACTTTATCAAGAGCTCAAAGAAATATATTATCAACACCGGATAAATTTATAGACAAAAACAATTGAAAGATCAAAAACAGAAACAACTATAAAAAGAAGAGTTTTTTTTTGAAACTTTAGCTGAAAAAAGAATATATTACATGTTTTTTTTTCTTTTATCTTTCTTTATATGTTTATTCAATAAAAAAATTATCAAATTTCCCTAAGCTTAACCCCATAAACTTAAAAAAAAACAGCCTCCTAAATTCGTAATTTTTCTTTATTCCATTTTTACAGACTAAAATTTAAATTTAGATTAAAACAAAAATAAAACCTTTGTCTGTTGGAATTTTTAAATAAAAAAAAAATAATGTTTTTAACTTTTTTATTAAAAATTTTCAAATAAATATTATTGCATTACAAAAAATATACATCAGTTATATCAGTCCTTTCTTTACCAAGGGTGAACAGAAGCTGCAGCATAATGGATTGGAGCATTATGAGCAAATACAGCAGGAGCATGATGGGCAACTACAGCTGGGCTAGCATGGGCATATACGACAGGTTCACTGATTATGTCACTTCTAAAACTATGTGTAGCGGCAGACGATATTTGTACTGGGGCAACAGCTACATTGTGAACCACTGGAGTTCCAACAATTGCTGGAGCGGAGTAAGCGACGACTGCAGGTTTGCTGATGACATCCTTTCTGTAGGTGCTGCTTACAGCTGCAGGTACAGCAACAACTGGGTCGATAGCTACATTATGAACCACAGGAGTTTCAACAACTGCTGGAGCGGAATAAGCAACGACTGCAGGTTTGCTAATGACATCCTTTCTGTAGCTGCTGCTGACAGCTGCAGGTACGGAAACAACTGGAGCAACGGCTACTTCATGAACCACAGGAGTTTCAACAATTGCTGGAGCGGAATAAGCGACGACTGCAGGTTTGCTGATAACATCCTTTCTGTAGGTGCTGCTGACAGCTGCTGGTACAGCAACGACTGGAGCACTGTAGGTCTCAACTACTGGGCTACCAACTAAAAATCCACTTGGTTTAGCTACAGTAATAGCTACGAAAGCAAACAACACCACCAATTTAAACATTTTTGATAAATAGGTCTGTGTTGCGAGTTAAGAAAACTGACTAACAAAACTGATGCTGTATCAAAAATCTCTTGGGTATTTATACCTAAAATTTAAGAAGCGAGATTCGGTATATGAAGTCAGGAAATAAAAGTTCCTGTTTGAGTTGTTATAATATGGGACCTTGAAATGTACAAGAATTTGACCTGCGATTATGTTTAAAATTAGTTCGGTGATCAATTAGCATTTTTACTGATGGATAATATTATTCTTATTTTGCATTGGGTACTTTTACATATAATTATTATTCATTTAGGTAAATGTTGCAAAAAATTTTGTATTTGTTTCGTTTGAGAAATAATGCGGATGTTTTTTTCAGGGTTAAAAATAAGCGACAAGATAAATTTACATTAATAAAATACACGTGTTAGATATTTCAATTAATGCCTAAAGATTGATAAAAACCGATTTATTAATTTTTGTAATAGAATTCAAAGAACAGAAATTGTTATTTTGTAATCTACATTTTTTTAATTAAATCCTTTTTTTTTACAAGAAATCAATTATCGAGTCTTTTTTTATTTGTAAAATAAAAATGTATTTTAAACTTAACAAAAGTTAATAACAAAAATTATTAACAAAAATTTGAAAGTCTGAAATGAAAAATAATTTTAGAATTAATACCTCTAATTTTAACTTATTTCAAGATTTTTTTCCATTAAATGAATGTATATCTATTTAAGAATTATTTTATTAATTTTATGTCACCCAATAAAATTAAAACATACTCACATATTAACCCTCAACTAGTTTAATGATTTCCGGGCCTCACAACTGGTATTGTTGGGTCAACCTTGACCCAGCCCTAATTTAAGAAGGGGGCGGGACTTTTTTTTGACTAACTGCATTTTTATTTATTAATTTAAAGAAAGCAAACCTACAAATGAAGCAAACTAAAGTTTATTCAAATTTGTAAATGCATAAATACAAAAATAAAGTTCAGAAAAAACACTTTGTTTACCATTTTAAGCAAAAGTATTTTTCTTTTATCAAAAACACGACTAAAATATGTTGGATTAGAAAAAACTCCCAAGTTACAAAAAAATAATGCAGAAATTTCCAACAAATAATCTAACAAGGGCTTTTCAGGACTAATGAAAAGGTTATAAAATTAATTATTTAATTTCTTACATATACTACAATAATTTTGTTGATGTAACTGCTGCTTACAAAATGTTTTTGCATGTAGAATGTTTTCTGTCGATTGTAGACACTCGTTACATAGTCTTTTTTTTTTCAGTGGTCTTGTTCGACTGCAATATCTGAAAATTTTAGAAATTCTCTAATTTTTTGCCGCAACACCTTAGGTACATGTTGATTTTCATATCGTCGCCTCATATGTTCCTTAACTAAAGACAGGCCCAAATTTTATATAAAAGATTTTCTGGACATTTTTAAATTTCTAACTGCAAAGTTTAATAAAATGTGACTGCTTACAACGGCAATAATGCATAAAAAATCGCAAGTGGTCATCGTCTCATTAAATCCACTCTACTTTTCGGTTAATTATAAAATTCAATAATTTCTGGCTTTCTCTTCTGGTCTTTATTTGATGACTTGTCGTGATGTAAGGTCGAAACTAGTAACACGCTTTTATGTTTGACAAGAACATAAGATACTGGGTTATTATCTC